GTTCCTGCATTATTTTCCTGAATTCTTCCAATTTTTTGTCTGTATTTTCCATGAATTTGTCTATTTTTTCCTCATTTTTGTCTGCTTTTTGCCTCAGCTCTTGGAGAATTCTGAGTATTAGAGATCTGAATTCCCTATCAGGTAGTTCTAGTGCCTTTTCTTCCACTTAAAAGTCGTCTGGTGTTTTATTTTGGATTCCTACGAAACCATCCTGTCCTGTTTTTGTAAATGTTTTGATATTGTCTGCTGTCTTCGGGGCATTCAGTAGTTATTTTTCTTGTTTATTGATTTAGATTTGTTTCATCCTTTTTTTAATTTGGCTGTGTCTGAGCAGGTGGGCTCTGTGTTCTTTGTTGTTTGCTCATCTGTGGGCATGATACTTTTTGCCTCCTTCTCCAATTGGCAGGGTCAGTCGCTCAGATAGGGTACAGTAGGGCAGGTCTAGCTGAAGAGGAGTTACTGGGATGTGTTGTTTGTGGCACTTACTACAGCCACCAGGGTGGGTTGGTAATCAGTGCATGGTAGGTTCCAGTAGGCCATGCCTGTGCTGCTTGGTGGTGTGATGTTAAGCACACGGTGCAGATAGGCAGGATGTAGGGGGGAGATTGTTATGTGTGGAGCTAAGATGGATACGGGAGAGAGGAGAGAGGAGCAGGAGCCAAAAACATCCAAACAACCAAAAAAGAGTGCTAGGGGAGCTTTCTGTTGGTGTGGAGAGATGAAAGACTATGAAATGGATAAAAACGAAAGGGGAAGAAGAATAAAGAAAAGAAAAAAAAAGAAAAGAATGAATGAATAGAAATCAGAAAGAAAAAAGAACAGGAAAGCTCCCTGGGATCCCACCGGTGCAGCTATGATGTCTGGGGAAGTTTTTCTCAGGTGTTGCAGTACAGCCTGGCTAGAAGGTGTAGAGGTATTCAGCACCAGGTATTCAGGGAACAGAAAGAGAAGGAAGGTATAGAGAGACGAGAAACTGAGTAATGAAGAAAGACAAAAAGGGAAAAAGGGGGAAAACAAAACAAATTAAAAAAAAGAAAAAGGAACAAGAAATTTTCCCAAAACACCAGAGGAAAAAAAAAAAAGCCCTCGGATCCCTCTGTGCATCTGCGCAAGCCGAGGGGGTAGGCGCCAAGCTGCGCAGCACAGCCTGGACGTAACAGGCTCCCAACTCAAGAAAAGGAAAAGACAACTAACAAACAACCCAAAACAAACAAAAGCCC